ACTAGCCAATATAGCTTCCCCCCTATTAACTAATACATAGGGGTGACAGAATCAGAAAGCCAACAGTTTCCCCCTATTAACTTATACAGAGGGGGAAAAGTATTGGCTAACTGATTCATTCCCCCGAGGAAAACAATCAGCTAGCCTATTTCTTCCCCGGGGAAAGAATCAGCTAGTTGATTTTTTCCTTCTAAACCGGAACAGAAGCTGATTGTCACATGAAAGAGTACCACCTGGGCATAAGATAATTTTGAATTTAACATTTTTTTTTTTTAATGGTAATATTGGGTTGATCATCTTAAATATTTCAGGTATTACTCTCTCTTACGTTCTCCACACCCCTGGAATATGTCCTGACAAAATTGACGGTTCTGTGTGCACCACACTGTCAGTGGATGATACATATGATTAGTCTGATCTTTTTATATGCATTAAAAGAAGTCCATGGATGTGTTATGTTAAAATTTGACCGGCTTTGAAGCCGGGTGCCACTCAGTAATCTCCAAACAATTAAAAGTCATCAGCCTAAAAAATTGATCGGTATTATTTTTTTACCTGAAACCAATCAAATAACATACTTCATGCCTTGATAAGTAAGTGTAACCCCTGGAATTTTGACGATGGGGGTTAGCTAATTGAGGAAACATTTGAAAGGAACACTAGAAAGCAAACATAACTTACATTCAGATGATCGTGAATCAATAATGCAACCATCACATGTATAAAAGGTATCTAAGGGAGATAACTTAGTAAAAATATCAACAACAAAATGAGTAAAATTTAGATAGAAGCACTGTAATCCTAGGCATTATATCCTAGACATTTTATTGAAAATTCTACAGTTTATTGAACATTTTTTAAAACCTTTTGCTATTCTCAGATATAAACGAAATTAGGTGTGAATTGGTAAATGCTTTTTTAGAGTAACAAAAATATACATTTTCTCAGTTATTCGCTGCAGACAGAAGTGACCATTTCCCACCTTTTTAACACTGATTTTCGGAATTTTATATTTTCATCTAAGTCTGCTTCTGATGCCATGAATAGAACTCGATCACCCTGCTCATCAAAACCGACGAAATCTCTCTCTGTAGGAACAAAAATGATTAATATTACACGTATGTGATCACTTAAGCACACACATAAGGAACATCAAAATATACTGTATAACTATTCATCACATATGAAAATTTAAAGAATTACTACAGTATATTGAATTTCAAACAGAAAAAAACATGTACAAAAAATGTATAAGGTTTTACAGTGATAATAAAGTGGATGTTTTCTACTGTTTATACAAACAACATTTTTTATTCACTTCAAACTCAACCAACCAATCATAGAGCATAAGAATTATTACATAGGGTATGAACCAGATTTACTGTTGGGTAAGCCAGGATTAATGATTGTTCAGTTGGTACCTGATCTTTTCTTCGCCTTGGGCCCCGGGGTGGGGATGTCTCTGTACTGGGAGGGTATAGGGGACAGCAGCATGGTCACTGTGGCGTCGTACTTCCGGTGGATGTTGGCTATTTGATGGATGGAGATGTCTGTTATCAGATCACAACTGATGATCAGCAGGTCCCTCTGTAAAGCCAGTAAAAAGATGAATTACAGACTGTGTTTTTTTAAAGTTTATAATATGTTAAGTAAATACAAAGTTAACATACCAGTAGTCTGCTTTGCAATGTCTGATGAACATTTCTTTATATGCAGGTTCCTGTCTCTGCAAACAAGGAAGTTTCAGTACCTATTACAAATAAATGTTCCATTTCCTTCGCAAGAAAACAAGTTAAACAGTATCATTGCAGACAAGTCCATATCATCAATGGAATAATGTCACATTACCATAGTCTAAATTAAGTTAACATATATATAAGGTTGTGTCTTGATAATCCATTCACCTTTGTCTCAAGCAAATGTGACTAAAATGAGGGATAGTTGGGTCCCCTAAAACACTCGTTAGGAAGAAGGTCAACCTGTCAACTGAAAGACTGGTTAGGAATTAACGATCGAAGTAGGTCAATCACTCAACTAAAACATTGGCTGGATAGTGGGACAATCTGTCCCCTAAAACACTGGCTGGATAGCTACCGGGGGATCTTTCCCCTAAAACAATGGGAGGATATAATGGGTCAATATGTCCCCTAAAACACTGACTGGATATTCGGTATATCTGTTTTCTTAAACTCTGGCTTGATAGTAAGCCAATCTGAACCCCTAAAACACTTGATGAGTGTGGGGTAAATCTGTTCCCTAAAACTCTGGCTGGATAAAGAGTCAATGTGTCCCCTAAAACTCTGGCTGGATAAAGAGTCAATGTGTCCCCTAAAAATCTGACTGGATAGTAGGACAACTGAATAATGGTGGCTAAATAACGGTACTCATCTGTACTATAAAATTTGTATTTATAAAACTTAAAGCGTTAAAATGCCTGCATACATTTTATGCCCCTCATTTCCAGCATGTGCTTACACCTTAATAGGACCACTATACCTTGACTTTGTCCTTGAGGTATCTAAGGGAGTCAGCGGTACCCCAGTAATTGGCATCAGGTATGCTGACAAAGTCTAGGCGAAGCTTCACTCCCACCAAGGCCTTACGGATTTCTGCTGCCTGGGAATCGAGAACAACCACAATGGCCTCTGAAATATATAAAATCTTACAGTTACAGCAACTTCAAAAGTGAAGACAGGATGTAAAGGTGTATGCACATTTTCTCTCTCTGCACCTCTATCTAGAATATGTCATGACAAAATTGAAGGCTCAATATACTAGTGTGCACCACAATTCCTATGAGACGAGAAGAGTTCTTTGATCCTTGATGAACATGCAAAAGTGAGCATAACCCCTGGAGTACCAAGGATGGGCATTCACGATATCCAGGGGTTTCGCTCACTTTTGTTCTCTGCACACCTGGAATGTGTCATAGCAAAATTGAAAGCTCAGTGTGCGCCACCTTGTTGATGAGACGAATGCAAGAAGACTATATAGTTCGATACTTTGATGTACATCAAAAGAATCTCGCGGTTGCGTAAGGTAAAAATTGACAGGCTTTGAAGTCGAGTGTTGCTCCTTTGTAATCTTCAAAGGACAGGTATCAGCCTAGCGACTGGACAGTTTTTTTACCTGAGACTTATCAAACAGCTATCTTCGTGCCTTCAATTTTGCCATGACAAATTCCAAGGGTGCAGATAGCGACAGTGAGCATTACCCCTGGATATCGAGGATGCAAGGATAGGGTGCTGCATATTTCTTTGCTAGCTGGAACACATACTGTACAGTAAATGACAATAGGAATGCCTCATCCCTGACATCAAATTATGAAGCATCAGGTGGAAGATGCCCTTCCTTTATTAATTTTTCCCCCATCATCAAACAAGAGCGATTCTTTGAAAAGTATATATATTTTATTATTTACGTAAGGCATTATTTATATATTATCTAAGAAGTGAAGATTTATGTAATGAGGAATATCATATTGTAGATATAAGATACATACCTTCAAAGCCAGCCCTTTCCAGCATGTAAACAGGGTAGATGACCATTGGTAGGTTGCCTACAGGCAGTAGGGCCTTTGGATACTTTGCTGTGTTGAGATCTGTCATTCGTGTCCCTCGCCCAGCAGCCATGATCACAGGTTGGAACTCCATATTGATCGTCTAGTAAAAGGCAGTGTTTTCAATTACCTAAATAAAACAAAGATGTGTTGTTATTTACAACAAATTCCAATCTATATTCTTTCAATTCTAGATGATGTCAATGGTTTTTAATTCTTACATTCTAAAAGAAACCCCCTAGCTTGATTTCTCTTCAAAATCTTTAACAAAATAGTTTACTTACTGAAGATGCTGAAGTTTACAATAAAATATTTGGAACCCCTTCAACTTTCCAAGGCTGTCTTAGTGACATTATAAGTTTTTTAAAGGCATGTACTTATCCCAAATACATAGAAAAATTGGTTTGGCTATATATATGAACACAATATTGTTTTTTAAGTTTGTTCTGGACAAGGTGGGGAAATGGGTTGCAGACGAGATAGACCAGAAGATATCTCTGCCCTATCAAAACAACTTTTAAAAGGAGATAGATAGTTATATATTTGGATTAATTGATTAGAAAAAGTACAATGAAGAACAGCACGATGTATCATCATCTATATGCCTTTCTCCGTCGATATCGACGATTACAGAAGTCGTTCTTGTGCTGTAGTGCGTTAAATGTTATGTACAGTGATTTTTTCTTATTTCATTTTTATTATTTGCTAAAGGATAAAAACAGGTTAAAAGCAGTGAGTGTTAGTAATGTTGTAGGTTTTGTATATGTACGATTATGTTATATGTGGTGCATGTCCTGAATTCTGCTAGTGTTTCTGTATACATCCTAAACAAATATCATAACACAAGCTCTGTGACATATATGATACACAACTTAAAATAGTCAACACTACACACATGTAGAACAAGAACATACATTTATTCTTCTCTACAAAATAATACAACAACAAGAAGCAATACAAACTAACAATCTCATCCCGGCAGACACCAGAACTAGTTTCTAGTTTCTAGCCATCCCATCTAATCATCTTTATAGCTCAATATCTTGTACGTACTAGACCTTGTCGTCCTATTTTAATTTACACTATATTAGTGTATATTATGTCAATTTTTACTCTTAAGCTATATTTGCATGTATGCACATTACACTTGAAGTGCTTTAACCCTCCAATATATAGCAACACCTGTGTGATATGCAGGTGTTTCACTATTATCTATTTACATCTTTTTTAGTAAAGTACTTTAAATTTAGTGCCTGTGATATCTAATTATATGCTGCAGTGGCGGATCCAGAGGTTATTTTGGGCTTCAGGACACCCTGATAATTTTCTTTAAAAATCATGTATTTTCACCATTTTCCACACATGGAACCCCCCTCCCAGGAAATTTGNTGGAAACCCCCCAGATAGGTTTCTGGATCCGCCACTGTGCTGCTATGTTATTGTATGTTTTACCCGCTGATTATGTGCTAGCTTTCTGTTATAGTGTATAGCTTTAATTGTTGTTATCTGTTTGCTTTATCATGTTTGTCGCAAAAATAGCGCTACAGCGCTAATGTTAAATAAAGTTTCTTGTATCTTGTAGAACACATCACGACTTTAGTTACAGACATATCTACACATATCATTCGCAGAAATAGAAACTGTAGCAAATGTGATTTGGGAGACGTCGAGGACGAATTCCATTTCATGTTTGTATGTCCTTTTTATAATGATTTGAGGTTAAAGTATATAAAGAAGTATTATTATAAGAGTCCCTCTGTTTACAAACTTGTCCAACTTTTATTTGTAAATAATGTCAAAGAGTTGTCAAATCTAGGTAAATATTTATATCTAGCCACTAAGCGGCGAAATTGATTAATTAGCTACACGTATTTATAATTTTTGTGCTTTTGTATTATGTTCTTTGTTTAGTTTGCACTTGTATGCTTATAGTCACTCTCCTATAACATATATACATGTACAATGTGTCATGATTAGTTTGTACCTATAAGTCTTAAGACTTTTGGTGAATAAAGAACTTGAACTTGAACATCCAAAGACACATATAGAGACACTCATTCTTTCTATACACCATAACACATTAAAACAATTAACCTATTAGATACACTAGCAGATCTAGAATATTCAGGACATGCATCACCGCATTTAAGCCATTTTGGTCTCTGTGGTATATAACATATAGATAGATAGATCACATATAACATAATCAAACAAATACAAAACCTACAACACAACTTAAACACTCAACTGCTTTTAACCTGTTTGTATCCTATAGCAAATAAAAAAAACACTGTATATAACAACGCAATACAGCACAAGACCACAAAAACTTCCGTAATCGTCAATATTGACGGAGGAAGATTTCCAGATGAAGAAGATGAAGATTAGTTGTGGTACCGATGTGTCTCAATCAGTGCATATGAAAGAAAATGTTCCCAAATTGTGTAAAGTGATTAAAACCTCTGCATATTTTGGCAGTCTTTTAGAGGAGATCAAGTTTTAGAATATTTATGGCTGACATGCAGTAACAATATTGTTTTAGTCTAAGTTTCTTTAGGCGAAATAGTAAGGGTAAGACACCGAGAAACTCGTGATCAGCTGGTGATAAAACAACACAAAATCATGGGATCATTATCTTCGTCCTTCATCTAAAACATTGCAAATTTGTTATATCTACCAAAAATACCTTTTCTTCTTCAGAATGTATATACAGGAAATAAATATGTTTAAATGGCAGTCTTCAAAATTAACTTCGTATGCCATGGATAAGTTACGATCTGATGAAATTTTCTTTCATCAACGTTCAAAAAGCAATTGAGTGTTTCCCTATCCATTAAAAACGCCAACGTGATTGGGACTTCGGTATGACATAGAAAAGAAAACAATCAACGTGCTTTATTTTCCGGAAATATTTCCGAAGTATGGAGTGATGGGCCTGTTCGTTTATGCGGAACAACCGGTTTGACCGTTTATAAATGTAACGATTTCGGGTATAAATCCTGGCGGACCTGCAAATGTTTATGCAGGCCTTCCACGGCTTTGTCAAGGCTCGCCTAGAACCAGCATCAGCTAACTAGGTCCGACCTTATTTAATAAACGAACAACTGTGGTCCGACCAGTTTGACCGTTTAAACGAAAACGGCCATAATTAGGGTTATATTCTAACGAAGTTAGTTGATTTGGAAAACGAAAAATAATATATGATGGAACGGCCTAATTAAACAAACATTTTAATGCAACACAAAGCTGTTTGCGATAGCAAATGGTTGCAGTTATCTCTCTTTACACAAACCAGTTGATATACACGACTTGTCATAGTGGTAATTTGAGAAGGGGTTGAAAAATTGCTTTTGTTTACCAATTCTTTACAGAGAATATGCGTTTTATCATGAAGGCGTATATGTTACTTTCAGTACAGTATGTTTAGAAAATGCAGTTTACCTTTTTGATTCGAGACAGCTGTACCTATACATGTGTTATGAACATGTTATATATATATATATATATAATGAGTATATTTTACAATATATTACACCGTAATCAGCTGGTAATGGTTCGAGGAATGGTCCAGGGGTCCCCCACTTTTTCTAATCACCGATTCTTTTTTACTAAATATCTATACCTTTTTATTAATTTACAATCTCGGCGAGATAATTAAGTGCACAGACTAAACATAATAATCATGAAAAATAAATAAATGCTTTTTGTATATTATTTTGTACCTTTTTTTAACGCAACGGACCAGAATTTCTAGCAGACGATACCCGAAAATTGGACCGCTTTAGCATACAATCTCGCTGAAATTCATCAACCTACCTGGTCACATTATACTGACAACTAATTTACTCGATGGAGATGCCTAGGGAAGCGCCGATAAAAAGAAAGTGGATAGGAGGGGGCGGAAACGATATAAAGATTCTAATTGTTACAAAGGTAACAGGAGAGAAAAATGCACGGTCAGATCTAGACCGGGGTTCGAACCCGGGACCCTCCGAACCTTAGACGGACGATCTACCAATTGAGTTTCCTGGCCGTCTACGATCGACCCAGTCCAGTTCCGCTACATTTGTCCCTCCTTTTTCTAAAGCTTCGCCCCAAGTTCGGGTATCTCCTTGTCACACATTTACCCTGTACTTGAAGAAGGGTTGATCACAGATGATGTAAAAGGGACGGGAAAACGCCCAGCCAGACCGGGGTTAGAATCCACCCGGTACCCTCCAAACTCTATAGACGGACGCTCTATCAGCTGGTTGCCGATGATAATGATTGACCCAGGCCAGTTCCACTTCACATAAACAGGAACAGGAAATCGTTTTTGTTTTCTTCAATGTTCTCCGAGGGGAAAAATACGGAAAAAACACGAATTCTGCATGGGCACCACATAAGTCGCCTCATGTGTATTTCCTCGGACTTACATGTAATTACTGACTAGGTCGACACAAATCAAATGACGAGGTAGAGGTGACGAGGTTACAGTGACGTCGATGAATGACGAGGTAATACAGTGACGATTTGCATGTCTGATGAGTTAGAGTGACGATGTCCGAATGAGGATGAGCGGCGAGGTTAGAACGAGGTTAGAATGACGAGTTTGGAATACCGATGAGTTATGATGTGAGGATGAGGATGATTGACGATGTTAGACTGACAATTAGTAACGAGGTTAAGGTTACAATGTAAGACAAGGTTAGGTTTGTCGAGGTTGGAGTGATGATGGGCACCTATAGGCTACAGCTACGGTGATTGACGAGGTTAGATTGACGACGAGTATTCGTACTGAGGTTTTAATGATGCGTGACAAAGTTTCAGTGACGATGTGTAAATGAAACATTTAGATTAACGATGAATAACGAGGTTAGAATGATTTTAGAAGACGAACTTAGAATACAGATGAGTGACAAGGTTAGAATGAGGATGAGTGATGAGGTCAGAGTAACAAAGTTAGGATGACGATGAGTGACAAGGTAAGAATTAAGTGAAGGAGACGAGGCTAGAGTGACGATTAGTGACGGTATTTTTGTGACAAATGACGATGGTTGACAACGTTAGAACGACGATGTCAGGGTAACGATGAGCGACTAAGTTAAAATGGCGGTGAATGGTGAGGTTATAGTAAGGAGGAGTGACGATGAGTGATGAGGTTATAGGGGGAGGAGTGACGATGAGGGGTGAGGTTATAGTAAGGAGGAGTGACGATGAGGAATGAGGTTATAGTAAGGAGGAGTGACGATGAGGGATGAGGTTATAGTAAGGAGGAGTGATGATGAGTGATGAGGTTATAGTAAGGAGGAGTGATGATGAGTGATGAGGTTATAGTAAGGAGGAGTGATGATGAGTGATGAGGTTATAGTAAGGAGGAGTGACGACGTTACAGTGATGATGAGTTTATAGTAAGGAGGAGTGACGATGAGTGATGAGGTTATAGTGAAGAGGAGTGACGATCAGTAATGAGGTTATAATAAGGAGGAGTGACGATGAGTAATGAGGTTATAGAAAGGAGGAGTGACGATGAGTGATGAGGTTATAGTAAGGAAGAGTGATGATGAGTGATGAGGTTATAGTAAGGAGGAGTGATGATGAGTGATGAGGTTATAGTAAGGAGGAGTGACGACGTTACAGTGATGATGAGTTTATAGTAAGGAGGAGTGACGATGAGTGATGAGGGTATAGTAAGGAGGAGTGACGATGAGTGATGAGGGTATAGTAAGGAGGAGTGACGATGAGTGATGAGGGTATAGTAAGGAGGAGTGACGATGAGTGATGAGGTTATAGTGGGAGGAGTGACGATGAGTGATGAGGTTATAGTAAGGAGGATTGACGATGAGTGATGAGGTTATAGTAAGGAAGAGTGATGATGAGTGATGAGGTTATAGTAAGGAGGAGTGAAGATGAGGGATGAGGTTATAGTAAGGAGGAGTGATGATGAGTGATGAGGTTATAGTAAGGAGGAGTGACGATGAGTGATGAGGTTATAGTAAGGAGGAATGACGATGAGTAATGAGGTTAAAGTAAGGAGGAATGACGATGAGTGATGAGGTTATAGTAAGGAGGAGTGACGATGAGTGATGAGGTTATAGTAAGGAGGAGTGACGACGTTACAGTGACGATGAGTGACGGGGTTAAATGACGATGAGTGACGAGGTAAGAGTGCTAAAGTTAGAACGACGATGTCAGGGTTACGATGAGTGACATAGTGTAGAATGGCGATGAATGGTGAGGTTATACAGTAGTGACGATGCGTGATGACGTTAAAGTGATGATGAGTGACGGGGTTAGGTGACGATGAGTGACGGGGTTAAGTGACGATGAGTGACGGGTGTAAGTGACAAAGTTAGAACGGCGATGTCAGAGTAACGATGATTGACTAAGTTAGAATGACGGTGAATGGTGAGATTATACAGCAGTGACGATGAGTGATGAGGTTAAAGTGACGAGCTGAGGAGTGATGAGGTTAGAATGACGATAAATGGCGGGGTTTGAGTGACAAAGATACAGTACAAGCCCAGTGTACAGTGACGATGAGTGACGAGGTTAAATGACGATGAGTGACGAGGTAAGAGTGACAAAGTTAGAACGACGATGTCAGGGTTACGATGAGTGACATAGTGTAGAATGGCGATGAATGGTGAGTTTATACAGTAGTGACGATGAGTGATGATGTTAAAGTGATGATAAGTGACGGGGTTAGGTGACGATGAGTGACGGGGTTAAGTGACGATGAGTGACGGGGTTAAGTAACAAAGTTAGAACGACGATGTCAGGGTTACGATGAGTGACATAGTGTAGAATGGCGATGAATGGTGAGTTTATACAGTAGTGACGATGAGTGATGAGGTTAAAGTGACGAGCTGAGGAGTGATGAGGTTAGAATGACGATAAATGGCGGGGTTTGAGTGACAAAGATACAGTACAAGCCCAGTGTACATGTGGTGAGTATACAGTTACCATGACAAGTATAAAGATAATCTTTCCTTCATGACTTAGTCCTTAAACTGTTCTCTTCTTCCCAAACTCCAGCTTTACTTTTTAATGGAGTGGAAAACAAAGACGGACGTTATGTATTCCCGTCTAATGATGACTGTTTTCTGTAGCAAGTCTATCTATGGATCGCGCGCGCGGTGAGTATACCGTTTTATTTCACAGGGAAATACGAACACTTACAGGATACAACAACAGTGTTACATAATAGTCGTGTCCGCATACCAGTCTTGTATAACATTCATACACATCCATTGACCTATTGATATTTTAACATACGTGCTCGGCTTTTTAATATGGGATCAAGTTTCAAGACTGACATTTCTATATATTGAAAATCACATTTAGAGTGTCTTTTGTGCCGTTGCGTTTAGATAAAAATACATTGTATTCTATCTGGATCGTATAAACACTATTCATACTAGTATATGTACATGTTTGAGTTTGGCACTACACATCTTAAAGAATTTCTGTCACGTGTTTTTTCCATGTACATTTCTACATTTATAAGTACCGCTCGGATTTTGCTTTTTACTTTTACTTTTACTAATTTGGTCTTAGACCGAAAAAAATGACTATCTCCTTTTAAGACTAATATCCCTGTCCCATAAGTTTTTTTTTTAAATTAGATATTCAGTTATTTCGGACAAATTTCATCTATATTTAATGTCTCATTGACTTCAGGAGAAATTGTCTAATTCATATACTAGTTTTCGCTCTAGAAGAATTGTTTGTACATATCTCGGGTAGTTTAAATTACTACACAGACCTAATTTGTAAACCAACTATATATTCTCATTAACAGACTTTTTATTGTAAGTTGAACATTATTTCATCTGTGACGCAAATTAAAGTTTGCAAGTTATTATAAA